TATAAATCCTTCAATTCTCCACCATCCAGTCAGAACTGAAGAAGTTTCTTGGATGAGAAGCAAAACGTCTTCAAAAAAAAAAACAAAACAAAAAAAAAAACAAGGGAGTCCAGTTGCCTCTTGAAAAAAACACCTTTGGGACAACCATGACCTGGATGACTGAGAGTCTTCATAGACATTTATCAACTCAGACAATCAAACAGTAAACAACAGCCTAATCAAGAAACCACAAGAACACTCCCACCAACACTGACAGGGAAAACCATTTTTATATAAACAGAGAGCAAACCCCACTCCCTTCTAATACTGATGGTATACCTAGTTGGGTAGTGAAACTTCTGAAATAAAACAAACTCATGGAGATTTAAGGACTGCATTGTTCAACCCCAAGCTACAAATATTCTCTTGTTTTGCTATTATGGAAGCGCTTGAAGCTAGGATATAAACACTGAATATCAATAGTGTGGGAGCAATTATGATGTGGGGAGGCCAATAGGAAGACAATACACATGTTGAGGTTCTGGCTAATGAAACATTCCAAAGAACTTCCAGACATTGATTTTCCTAAAAGTCTTTTATTGTTACAAAATGTCGGCACAGGCACAACGGAGGGATGCTAGGATCTAAGTTCTCTTCCTCTGAGCAGTTAAATTATCAGCATGTTCCCTCCCTAAATTTGCCGTCATATCTCACACCATCCAATTAGTGTGAAGGTCAAATGTTTTCTTCCTCTTTCTTTCCCGGGCATTACCCCCAAAGTCCCTTCTGCTCTTTATTAACCCCATATTTACCAGATAATTCTGCAAATTGTCAAAAGCAAGAATATACAATAACTATACACAGTTTGCACCCTGTCTCAAAATTGTGAAATAAGGTGAAAAAAATATTGGAAAAGAAGCAATAAGAATCTATGTTTATGGAACACAGCAAGGGGAGAAATCAATTCTTTTTTTTTATCCAAGTAGCTACTTGAAAATGCTTACATATGTTTACCTACTGCTACCTGCTCCAGCATGGTGCCATTAAAAAAAATCAAATGTACTGGAAAAGGGGACACTATGTTGGGGAAAGTTTACGTATAGTAACTGCTATAAAAGGAGTTTTAACTGTGGCCTTCAGTCTAGCTTAGATGTCTACCAATACCTTCCCTTGAGACCCAGCAAAATTTCTGCCTCTCCTGATTTATTCTTGTTAAGATTTCTTAATAAAAAAAATGAAAAGCCAACATGCTGCAATATTCAGTAATTTCTTTAAGTCACACATAAATCCTTGAAACAGAAGACGGTGGTGGCTGATGGCAGCCAGGGATTAATTTGAAAGTGAAATCACCTATTTAAGCAGAAGGATAAAGGGAATCAATGGTGCTTAGAGGAAAAAGCACCCTCACCACTTTCCCTTCTGATAAATGGGTGTTCTGTCACTGAACATAACATAGATGATCCTCATTTAACAACCACTCATTCAGCGGCTGTTCAAACTGATGATAGTGCTGTACAAGTAGTAGTTATAGCCAGTCCTTGGACTTCTGGCTTCATCACTTCTCATTCCAACAACCGGTAAAGTCAGTGGGGAAGCCAGCAGAAAATCAGAAGTGGAGGTCCTGAATGATGCAACTGAGCAACTAAGTGTTGCAGTCACGTGCACTTTATGACTGCATTGTTAGCAATGACAATTCTGGTCTCAGTTGCTGTAGTAAACTGAGGACTACCCACAATCTCAAAATTTCAAATGTGTCTCTTAAAAAAAATTAGAGATTCCTGCTTTAGAAAAGGGATTCGCGGTGGAAACTTGATGATTTATATCCTGCTTTTCTGCCAGAGTAGATATAGTGGGAGTGTGGCAGCAGGCACCATGAGATCAAAGTGTCTCAGAAGTGACGTTGGATAAGGAGAAGGAGAGTGAAAATGAATTAAAGAGCTGGAAATAGGCCACAATTATTATTATTATTATTTTTAAAAATAAAAACCTCTTCTGGGCTTTCCCCCCCTAAGATTTGTGAATCTTTGACCTAGCAATTCACTTGAGATGTGCTAAGTGCTTTTTAAGTTTTCCATTTCTTTCTCCTTCCTCCAGTCTTGTGAGCTGTTCTGAGGCAATACGTAAAAAAAGGAGATCACAAATAAGGTCAATGTATGAAATGGAAAAGAAGAGAATTGCTTCCATTTGCTATTGTCAATTGTTAAGATTATGTGAATCAACCTTAACAAGGACTTCAACTGAGAAATTGTATACTCGCATAATGTCAGGATCAAAATTAGATCATTGCTATGTCAGTGGAATGGCCACTATACCCACATGTCCTTAACTGAAAAGGATCAGAAAAACAAACTGAAAATACCCAAGCAGCAGAAAGGCAGATATCATTCCAGTGTTCCTGGAAATGTACGTTATTGTGCCAAATACAGAGGTAGCAACTAAATGCTCAGTAACAAGAGCACCTATCCTTACATCGTTACTATTCTATAATAGTCAAGACAATGCCGTGGTGCCTTCAGTCCATCAGACAGTAGCTCACACGAAAACAAAGTGAAAGAGTGGGGAAGCTCATTCAGTCTTGCAAGATTCTGTTATTGCAACTGTTGCAATAAAAGGAGTTCTAACCTGTATGGCATAGGTTTCTTAGTCTGGTCTACCTGATAGGATTGACACTAGCAGACAGGGCAAGAACGAAGAAACAGAGCAGCCATAGTACATGTCAGCAGTGTACAACCCCAGCTCTCATAATTCTCCTGACCACATCTAATCCAGTGATGGAACAGAGACTCCATCCTTCTTATCTCAGATCTTTAGTGGGCTGAATGATCTTAAGGATTGAGTCTACCGTGATTGAAATGGCCACTTTGGATAGAAAACTGCATCTGGGAATTACGTCTGAGCATGGTGTAGCAGCAGTTCCTCCTTCCATGGAGGAAGCAGCCACTCCCAGCTTTGTCTGGTATATAGAAGGTATCTTCTTCTTGTTGTTGTGCCATATCCATTATCGGACGTTGGCGATCATGTTGCCAATCCTGTTTTTATCAGCAGCCGCACAAAAAAGTGCTGCTGAGTTTTGTCCAAACCACTCCCTTAGATTTTGAAGCCACGATGTTCTTCTTCTGCCTGGACCTCATTTGCCTTCAATCTTTCCCTGGAGGATTAAATGGAGTATGCCGTATATATACTGGTAGGTATATGTAATGGTATATAATGCCTTCTCCACAGGCATTTCTCCATTGCTCCTTCCTGCTGTCTCTCAAAAATAAAAGTGATTCTGTGCTGAGGAAGGTGGTTGAAAAAGTCTATAATTCATCTGCTGATTGATTATATTGTATCAAATCAATGATGAATCTTAGCAGAGGAGATGGAATGGGGCTGGGGTAGGAGCTAAGATCAGAAGCTTGTGGAACAAATTCAGATGAGAAATCCTGACGGGTCATGTTCAATATGAATTTCCCCACTACCTGGTCATTCCAACTAACCAACTTGGTTGCTGATAGGGTATTATGTAGACAGATGCAGAAGTCAGGGAGTATCATCACAAATGGGTGGTTTACCCAGACAGAATATCTATTACAGTTTTTCTCTCACTCACTTCAGTCTTAATCCTTTTAAGAGGAGTAACTCATGAATTCAGATGCAAAACATTTGGTAACCAGTCAATCAGAAGACAAAGATGTTTGATCTGAATGTGCCTCTGTGTGTGAATTAAATCAAAATCCAGCTTGCTCAGAAATTGCAGAAATAGTTTGCTATGAGGAAGAAGGAACTAGAGATAGATAAAAGTATCTTTCTCAATCTACTAGACCTCAAGGACATCACTTGAAACTTACCTCACAAGAGCATAATCTATGTAACAAAGCAGAAGTCATTTTTAAGAGAGAATTTTACAAAGTAAAGAAAGATAAAATAATTAGGCTACCTAGAAGTACTATTTTCAGAAACATTCTCTGCTGAATGAGAATTAAGAAAAAGAAGATGACTTTATGCTCTGAAAGCATCTAGCTTGCCACTATGGAGTGCAGGACCATGGACAGATCCAGGGGCGGAGAAAATTCAGATCTGGATCAAATGAAAGTCTCTAAGCCAGGGGTCTTCAAACTTGGCCCTTTTATGACTTTTGGACTTCAACTCCCAGAATACCTCAGCCAGGCACACTGGCTGAGGAATTCTGGGAGTTGAAATCCACAAGTCATAAAAGGGCCAAGTTTGAAGACCCCAGCTCTAAGCAATTTTCAGTAAATGGAATCCCAATTATTGAACTTTAGCAGCAACAAATGAACTTTCTCCCTGAGAAAACCTCATTCCCACCAAATTTACAATATTAAAATGCAGAAAATAGAAATACATTTTTGTGTGCAAAATGTACAATGGTATTTGTTCAAATCCTTAGTGAAAATAAATTATTGGGCTCAAAATACTTTCATGTGTATAGCTTTTCTGTATGTTCTAATCAGTGTCTCCTACAGTTTTAATTAAACAACAACAACAAGCTAAGCCTGGCCCTTCCAGGTTTAATCTGGGAGGAATTTTTATGTGCTCTTAAAAACTTACTTGAAATGCAGGAAGTAGCACCCTTTTCACACCTTTAGAAGACAACTATATACAAGATAGAAGGATTCCACAGACAAGTGGCCAAGAGGTAGGGTTAAATGACAACAGTTAGGAAAAGAGGTGAGCTGTAAGCATATTGTGCCATCCCATTTCAATCAATATATTTACTGATACTCAGTGCTTTTTTTGTAAAAAAAAAAAAAAAGAAAAGAAAAGAAAAGGTGCCGGAACTCACACATGTCATACAACCCGCCTTGCCTATCCTACAAGGTTCCATCCCAAAAAGGTGCCGGAACTCCGTTCTGGGCGTTCTATGACAAAAAAAGCCCTGCTGATACTAACGACTGAGGGATCCTCTGGTTTCAAGGATAAAACAGCAACGCAACAATGTACCGCAGCTGACTGGTTTTATTCATTCATATAATTGCTTCTTATTAATTGGTACTCTGCATAATAAAATAAGCACTCACCTTCACAGTCTGTCCAGCTTCAGGACCATCCTGTGGGAAGAAGTGGAAGAGAGGAAAGGAAAGTGAGGGGAGAGAATTAGATAATAACAGCCAACAAGATTCTTCTGGGCATTCAAAAAAATTCCCCATTAATAATTTAAATCTAATTTCATTGTGCATTAATTTATAGCACTCTTGTGGGGATGATCTGGCACTGAAGTACTTGGGAGCAGACACCTTTCTATTTCAGGGCCAAATCAAATGGGAAATGATGGCACAGAGAAGAAAAAGTTCTGGCACATTTGTTCCTCTTGGCCCTCCCCATCTCAGATCACAGATGCTCTTAATAATGTTGGTGCTCATCAAGATTTATGGGGACTGTTTAGAAAAGAGTCGTTTTTGGCAGACACAATACAGTAGGATAGCCTTCTCGGTTTAATATGATTTTAACAAAAGGTCTGAGGTAAGCAATGCAACCCATTCATTCACAGCTGTGTCCCAGAAGCTAAACAAACTAATCCACTTCGTGGGAGGATAAATGAACATTTTTTTAGAAGACCCGCGTTCTGTGGGCAGCTCAAAAAGCTTATTTATACTTAAATCCAAGATTAAAATTAATATATGGAACTTCATTATCCTACTCAGTCAGGATATGCTTTATAGCAGGCATGTCGAACTTGGAACATCACGTGATGTCACATGACGTATCGGAACTTTTTCCACATTGCCGGCAATGGGATGGGCGCAGTTTCAGCGTGACGCATCCGGCCCACAGGCCGGCAGTTTGACATGCCTGCTTTATAGCTATCATATAAAGGGTACACAAAGAACAAGGAAGCCAAGTTACATTAGAGAGACATATTCCATCTTTATGGATGTTTATTATTTATGTATTTATTTATTTATATGTTTGATCTATATCATACATATCAATGACTCTGAATGGCCTACAGTTCAGAAAATATATTACAATTAAAAATTTGATTGTATTGAAGTGTATTTAAATAAATTCAAATGTAATTCAAACATTTTAAAACAATAAAAAGAGTAAAGCCAGTAAAGAAAACATGTAAAACATTCAATTTGGCATATACCAGAGCAAGATATTTAGCCTGTTAGCAACCGAGTCAGGATATATGGCCCTTGGCACATTCATCACCCTGGTCTTCCATGGAAATTGTTATCCAGAAGTGACTAGAAACATTCTTCACGCCATTCGAGAAACCCATGTACGTGAAATCTGTATGATTAAAAGGCTAACAGGGTTGGGGTCATTCTGAAGGGAGGAATGATCTTTCCTTCTGGTTCCTGCCAACTGAAATTCTTTGGCTGACGAGATGTGCAACATGTCCATTCTGTTTGAACTAGTTGGACAGATAGAGATTTTTGAAAAAAAGGTGATCCTTCAGGTACGCTGGTCCCAAGCCATGTGGGATTTTATAGATAACTACCTTGATCATGTTCAGGGTCCTATTTCCATGTAACTAAAGCACCATGTCCTGAAAGCCTCCATTTCTTCATGTACAACCCTGATTTTCCATTATTTTGTGCATGGATTTTGTCACAGAAATTTCAGCAGATTCCATGTACATGGGTTTCCTGAATGCCATGAAGGATGGTTCTTCATGGCATACTTTTGGTTATCAGCCTCCATTTATGGAAGACTAAAAGGAGCTACCTAAAATTTATGGATGAGGGACCAGTTCAGTCACTCTGGAGAAGAGACAGTACAAAGCCACAGTAAGATTAACTTGCTCTTTAATAGGAACATGATCTCTGAAGTTCCAACCATTCAGGAAGATGGCATGAATTGATCTGAGTTGTTTGCTACCAGAGACTTCAATGGCATATTTTCATTTCCAAATTCACTCTTGCAATGTTCCGTGACAGAATTTATGCACTGGGATGAGGGACAAAAATCTCAGTATTAAGAGGACATTAACCAGGTCAAAGGCACTTGAGAGCATTAACTTAAAAATTTCAGGAATAGGACTTGACATCTGAGAGGCAGGTTAGTCAGACTTTTGATCCAGGACTTAAGGCTGCTTGCCTTCTTCCTTGATGATGGTCAATCCAAGGAGAAGATGACAGCCCTCCTTTTCTCACTCATTTCATCCTGAGTGATGTCATGTAAGTAGGAGTAGCAATACAATATTGTTGTTGATGGCAAGAGAACAGCAAAAGGGAAACTCACTACCACCATCCTTCTAGTTCTTCCTTTCTGTCTCGCAAATTAAGAAATCTTTGCAGTGAATTATAGCAACTATCGAGTTTTTTTTAGCTCTTGGTTTATTTTAGTATACCAACATGGAATAGGATGTTCAAAGCTGTCTTTACTGGATTTTGAGGATTGCAGGTTGCTCAACCTAGGTAAGCCCAGAATCCTGTATGAATGTTGCAGTACATTATTGTGGTATGGTTTCTAACTCTTGAAAGCTATTTCTGCAAATGTGCAAAAACGATTCACTGCATGCATTCTTCTCTCTCTTAGAGCATTTAGAGAATTGTCTCAGAGGACATTAAATTAATTACTGAGGAGGGTTTTTTTTTAGAAAAAGAAAAAAAATCTAAGCTAGCTACAATACTGACTTTTAGGCGATGTTGCTATAGCGAAGCCCTCTTCACACAGGAAATTGCAAGCAGATATCTTAAGTACTATTTTTGATATTATAAACCTTTAAAAACTCTATTTTGGGAGCTTTTGTATAATTACTTATACAAGGACAAGGTAAACAATTTTGGCTGTAATCAAATCACAGTATTAGTACTAACCTGAACTGAAATGGTGAGCGATGTTCCTCCAAAATGTTGCTCCACGACATTGCCAACTGCTTGTGTTGTGCGAAATAAATCAGCCACTTCTTCAGGATACAAGTCCCGGAAACGCTCCACAGGGCGTAGAGGACAAATGAGAACATCTGATTTATACAAAGTTAAGGAACAACTTTGTATAAAGAAAATACAAGACACTCAGTTCCACAAAAATATGTAGAATTTATTGTTCTTCAATAAAATTTGAAATATGAAAAGAAAGAAGGAAGGAAGGGATTATACATTTTCAAATGCTTGACTTTCTCACTGAATAAATTTTCTCCTCCTTTATCGCAAAAATAGCTCCAGGATAACAAGATTTATTTGCAAGTTAGAAAGAAAATAACATCCAGAAGTTAGGGAAAGAAGATATATACACTAGCTGTCTAATGTTTTGGATAAAACTCCATTTCATAGTTTTCAAATTGTATAAAAGGTGCTGTGTAATTGTATGCACATCTCCTCAGAGGTAAATTCTACTGAGTACCTTGAGATTTCTTGATCTAGTTAACTATATATAGGATCACAGTGTAAATGAGTCAGGAAAAAAACCCAGATTTTTAGATCATTTGCACAATTTTTTCTGAAATGCAGTATCTGTTTGAGCCCTGAAGAAGAAGGAAAAAAAAGACAATCACACAGGAATATACTGAGCAGGGCGTTGGACTAGATGACCTTCAAGGTCCCTTCCAACTTTACTACTATTACTATTACTATTACATATACTGAAGTACAGTTGAACACACTTGCACAAGCTTTCACTGTCATGGAAACATTCCTGAGAAAATATAAGAGAAATGTGTAAAGTTTCTGTGTAAATTATACCTTAAATATAATTTACTGGTCTAAGGTGAATAAATTGGGATTGAGAGTCAAATAATTGCATTGTTAAAAGCTGGGGCAACTCTTTATGTACTGCATCACTTCCACAGCCAGAACCAGAATTTATGTTGATCTAGGCACATTTAGCTTTCTTTTGGATTGTAATCAGTAATTTGATTGGCATAATCAATAAACAGAATACTTAGACTACAAGCAGCTACATAAACTCTTAAGATCCTTGGGACACCTTCCCTTTGAAATTTTTTGGAACTTAATAAGTAAAATTCCTGGAACACAGAATACTGGCTACGATACTTCAAGCAGAATTTTCCAGAAACATTTGCTGTCTTAAGTATTTACTTGTACCATGAATTATATATTTACTTGGAAGCAATTTTTAGTCAGACCCTTGAACGTTATCCAGGTAAGCCTATATAAGATTTTCACATCACTTCCAAAGAAAGTCATATTGAGTGCACTGAGACCTCTTTCCAGCTTTACATTTTAGCCCAATCCCTAGTTTCCCTTAGGAAATGAAGTCCTCCTGAACTCATTGCTATGTGTGGTAAAATAGGGTGAAACCAACCCATATCAGACTGCAGTTTTGCACATATTGTCCACTTAGTGCAGGGGTGGGGAACTATGGCTCTTTTATGACTTGTGGACTTCAACTCCCAGAATTGGGAAATGTTGGCATGCTGGCTCACTAATTCTGGGAGTTGAAGTCCACAAGTAATTCTGGGAGTTGAGGTCCACAAGTCATAAAAGGACCATGATTCCCCACCCGATTTAGTAAAAACCAATCTACACAATAGGACTTATTTCAGAGTAACAAGGCCACAGCTGCTTCATAAAGGAGCCGATTGATGGAAATATGTTCAATCAAAGCGAGATTAGAAAACAGCACATCTATTTTCTGCTGGGATTCCCTTTTGGATTCTGTCGCTTATTCATCTGCCTGGAGTAGAAGGAACTGCAGGGCTTAATAAGTTCCCCTCATTTATTTGCTAGTCTTTCCAGGAGGCTGCAGAAAATGCCTTCATAAATGATGCCACCGGCTGAGCCAGGAGCCCAAAGGGAAAACAGCCCAAAGTTGCAGTGAGCCTTGATTTCTACACCAGGAATAAAGAAATAAGAAAACTAATTAATTTTCCTCATTAAAAAGGGGGGAGGAGTGTCAAGGCAAAAACTGGGTAGAGGCACATTGGTTTAATCCAAGTTCATTTTTCAAAAGAAAAGATAGTGAGCATTTACCTGAGAAATTTAGATAATTACCCTTCTTCTGAAGCATTGCTTTATTATTATGGGTCAGTGAACCATTTACACATGGAGAATATCTTTACATTTAACCCCAGCAAAACTGTGCCTAACATTCACTTTTACTTTCTTTTTCTTTTTTTAAATGTCCTATGGAATTCTGTCCTAGTTGCTTCATATTCTCCTTTGATATCAATACCAGACCATTAGCATCCCCAAGTAGGACTAGAATTAATGTTCACCCATTTCAAATGTCATATGGCTTTCAGAGTGTCAAAGACAATAAGAATATAGCCAAAAGGTCCCTTGTTTCTTTTGGAAGCCAAAAATCCCCCACCTTTTCATGGGTCACTGTATTCTTTTCCCCCACTGCCTTGGGCCCCCCCAAAAAATCACACTAAAATAGAAATACTTTTCAGTACTAGATCATTAAAAAGTATGCATTCTAAAATATATTCTCCTCTTACAATGCAAATGCTAAAATGTGTTTTGATTTTTTTGTATGGACTGAATCAAGAACGGCCCTGAAAAAAAATAAGGAGGCAGAAAAGTCAGTGGATAATTAATTTCCAGTCAATTATTAATTACTTTCAGTTCTGATTGCCTTGCCTTCCTTAGAAATCCAGGCAATATCTCCAGGACGTCAAAGTTTAGCCAAACTGATTGATACCATTTCCCCCCATTTTTAAAGCTTCCTTATAGCTTCAGTACTTTCTGTAGGTTTCTGTCATATTCTCAGGGTTACAAGGGCATGAAAAAAGCAAGAGAGGTTTCTCAAAAATAAGGTAATTTTTTTTCAATATAAAAAAAAAATCAACAGCAATACTTCATCTCATACATCGTGTCCCCTTTTCTTCTGGGCTGTAATGGTCAGGCTTCAGGGTTACTAGGTTTAACCCAATTTAAAATGGCAGGCCTGGGGATACTCATTAAATTTCATCAGACAAATAACATTGTTAAAGATTTCTGAAACCACTGTGAAAAATACTGGAAAAACAGGGCCTATTTTAAGCAATAAAAAAGAAGGGTAAGAGGAGTTGATCCTATCTTTAGCTTTGTCTATAATCATTTCTGAAAAGCTCCATTGTACTCTATATATACCTGATGCCTAATCTGGCTGATGTAAAATGCAGAGAGCACAGTCAGAAAATGGGTCTAAATGAACATCTTAGCTTCTCATTTCTTTGATATATAAATTGTAAAGTGTAATTTGGGACCGTCACATACCAGATCTATTTTATATCTCTGACAGGTGAAGCAAAATAGCATCAGTACAGGATTTGCAATTAAAACCACCAAGCAATTTTCCTTAAATATAATTGAATACTGACATACATCACAAGCACTATGACATCATTGTGCAAAATCATATATTGAATGATTGATTTTTCACATATTTAGACTGCCCATCTCCCTCAAAGAGGGACTCTTTCATGCCCTTTGAACAATGCTGTTGTGATGCACAAGGTGTCACTTGCTCCTGTTTGCCCTCCCTATGGATGCCTATATCGCCAGACCCACAGTGTTACCTTTCTTTTTTTTGTATAGATTTTATTAGTTTTTTATAGGGTTAGGAATAAGGTGGGGTCAGGGTTGGGGTTGGGATTTGGGTTAGGGTTAGGATTAGGGTTGGGGTTTTTCCAAATAACATTCTCAATATTTAGCAAACAGCATAATGTCTGGGTTCATGTGTTTAACAAATAATAATAGGTAATAGTTAATTATTATAACCAGTATGTTAATTAATCACTCAATAGCCTTCTTCTTGCTAATATATATTCAAAATTGCATATCACATTCCTTTCTCTCTATGTGAGGGCGATTTGGCTGTGACATCTGTCACCCCATTGATCGCCAAGGTTGATTTGGCTGATCTGGCTGGTTAGGCAGGTGTCCCCTTCCTCCCTCACTGCTCTATGTGCGTCCCTCCCGAAGCTGCATGCTCGTTGGAAGAGGACGACCATCTCAGATAGAAGGAATGTACCGATCTTCGGTCAAGGGTATATGATAGCTACGCTCCCCTGCTAGAATCTCCAAACAAGCTCAAGGTCCACAGTGTTACCTTCCTCTGCACATTTTAAATAAATATCTGTTAGTTTCTTGTGCTTTAAAGGAGACAGTGGGAGAATAATACTTTCAGACTTGCAAGATTCTGTTAATGTACTTTTACAATAAAGTAGAATTAGTTTATCTGGTCGAGTTTCCTGTCTGGTCTACCTGGTGAAGCTGACTCAATCTTGCAAGTCTGAAAGTACAATTCTCCCACCATTGCCTTTACAGTCTGAGAAACTAGAGACAATCCCTTCTGAGCTTCTTGTCCCTTCCACTCTCTGGCTATAGGCTATGCTCTCTCTTATCTGGCTGTTCCCTCTTCATCCCATCTCCCAAGGTCTTTCCCACACACCATTACATATAGCCCTACATGTATTCTGCATGTATCATGGCCTCCAGAATAGGAAATACACTCCCCAAGAAGATATTTTTGATTTAAATCCCACCATTATGTAGAAATACGGTACTTGCACATCTCTTTTGCCAATCTCTTTACTGTCAATAATTTGTAGATTATTGGTGGGGCAATATTGGAAGAAAAATTATTTGCCTACTATGGAAGAATGGATACTTAAGGTGTCTAATTTAGCAGAAATGGCGAAAATCTCCACCTATTTGAAGGACCATTCACAAGAAAAATATATTTCGGTCTGGAGAAGATGGATTGATTATATTCAAAAGAAATATGAGAATGAAAAGTATTATCTTGCTTATGGGTAGATTTCAGATTATTATTAATAGTTTAATATGGTTGAATTTATATTATTTTTAGTGTTATGGTTTAATTATATTATTATTTTTGTTTTTAATTAGTTAATACTTGTTTTGAAAAGGAGTTAAAGTATGTTATAGATTGTTTGATAGTATAGTCGGGTAATGTTAGTTAGATTATGATTGTTTATTTGTTACCCTGTAATCAGCTCTGGGAAGTGGGGGAGGGGGGGAGGGATGGGAGGGGTTTGGGTTTATTGTATTA